CCCCCCCCCCCTCCAACAAACCAATAAAAGAAAAGCATGAAAGAAGAAAAAAGAGACTTATGTGAGAGCTTCATCACCTGTTTGTTACCAGGAAAGTAGCACGTCCAGATTCTCTAAGCATTTTGAGCATTGGAACAATTGAGGTATCCTCATTGATATATCTGATGTTGGCAGAGAGACAACAAGATAAACTAGTCAAACATGGAGTGCATTATGAGAATATACAAGGACAATAAGAATAACAACCCCATAAGTTTTGCATATTTCTAATTAAAGAACATAGAAGATGTTCTCAACTACTCAACACTTCCACCCATTCTCATCTCTCAAGCCTGAAACTGTTAAGGCAGCAAAGCTTATATATATCACTCTCTTTAGAGCTTTATTAATTTAAGTTTAAGAACATTTCTGAACCACTTGAAGTACCAAACAACGCCCAAAACAATACCTTAATGATACAAAGGGACAACTAAACCAAAATCAAGCAAAATCTACAATGTGTATTAAAAGCTAACCAACAAATTTAAATTATAGAAAAAGTAACGGAATGATTGTTTATGCATATGATAGGCAGGCATTGTCACTAATGCTAGGTTCTCTGTATACCCAGCGAACTTCAATGTTGGAACTGAAATGTCCCCCAAGCTACCTATCATACCACGACCATGTGCAAAGATACCTTTTTCTCTTATGGTTAATCCTAGGTTCACTAGAGAGAGAGAGAGATTCAGAAGCACTGTATTCGCAGCAAAGAGGATAACAATGGTAGTAACTTCCATGAAAGTTACATTGCAAATACACACTTGCAGAAACTGCCATAATAGATGGAAGCAGCAGTTTCCACACTCTGAAACATTTTTATTATTGAAAGTGAGAAGAAAAATACAGGACAAGTAAATGATTTTGGAAAAATGTTGGACAAAACGAACATTTTATCAGAGGTTGAAAGAGCGACAAAAAAGGCTTCTGTACTGGGTGCATGATGGTTAAAGTTTTCCTCTCACTCCTCGTTCATAATATTAAAATTGTTAATATCCTTTCTTATTTCAATAAAATCTTGTTTTCATATGGGGGAACGTTCAGATGGATTACAAGAAAGAAGATAAAACTGGGAATTCCATATCACACAACCCTATAGAGAAAAAAATCACCCACGGAAACAAACATAACAAGTGCATATGCGACAACTAAGACGGAAAAAATTTACACCCTAGGATCAAACATGTCTTGTTTCCTGAGGTCCACCAAATCTATCTTACCTTCACCGGCTATGAGAGAGTTACTAATTACCACTCAATATGGTGCATTCTCCAGAAGAACAAAACAGTTGCCCATACCTTTTTGGATCTTTTGCAACCATCTGCTTCAAAGTCCCATCACGGTGGCACAAATCAACTGCTGCTCTAACATCCTTGTACATGTGAGAGTAGCTGCACGAAGTGTTAGCAAATAAGCAGACCATGTAGAGTATTAAAGGAAGAAATTGCTACTAATAAAGCAGCAACAGTGAAAACACACAAGGAATATTAGTAAATGTAACCCAGAGGCCAACCATCTCCATCCCCCCCCCCCCCCCCAATCCATGCTAAGATTAAACTCAAAGGGCAACATCATTAGCATCAAAACTACAGAATCGTCCTATAACATACACTCAACCTAGCACAAAGTCTAACATTTTTTTTCTGATAAAGTAAATTTTTTTATTCATGTGTGGGCACAGGTCTGATATTTAGCAAGAGTTCCAAAAAAAGAAAAACTTGTAAACAATTCATTACATGCATGCACATACCCAACCATAAATAAGCTGCAACTTCCTGTTCAAAGAAATTAGTCCAAGATATTCTTGCGAAAGCATATTGTTGCATGGGCATTCTAACACAAGCATATCCAATTGCCAAGGTACAAGAAGTCAAGAACTAGTCACAAATTTTAAATATAAAATATTCTTACACTTCTGACAATATAAATCTTGAAGCAAGTGACAAACGATGAGAAGACCACAGAAAATTACTTGAATTGAAAGATAGAACAACATCTCTATGGAACAACCTGGAAGTAAACGAAATCACTTATTGAAGATATATCTACTACGCATCCTTATTGAAGAAATCTAATTGCTCCCATAAAGCTACTACAAGTGAGAGCTACAAAAACAGAATAGCTAGCATTACAAGAGAACCGAAACTAGATCCGACCACCAGCTTCTTGATTCGAGCATATCTCATGATAGATTGGTAGATAATATTTGTGAGAAAAAAATCTGTTAACCCCGTGTTTACACCACTTAGCTAATTGAAAAGACTAAAGAGAAAAGAAATGACGAGACAATATTTAAATTAAATACATGCAAACCCGGATTAAAGAACATGTTGGCAGAAGTACAGATTGACATTACCGTCGGTAAAAGTTAAAAAAAGTGCTGGTTACTCTCTTACTCTGCATTTTCAGGAACTTTTCCCGGATTTTTGTCCTTGAAGTCCACCAACTGAGCAAATAAGTAGGCTTCAGCAAGAGAGAAAAGGGTATCAATAAGTGCATAGTCAGGTTCATCAAATGAATCCCGAAGCAAGGTATTGCCATAAGTAGCAACTTTATCTTCTTTGGACATCTCCCTAAATCCATGGTAAGCAACTTTCACATATTTGTGTCGGTCCATCTGTTACATGAGCAAGCAGAAAAAGGAACAATATTTAAATAAGAAAGAAATGGAACTACAACCATAACCGGGATGAAGTGAAATAATGATTAAGACAGGAAACGATAACAATGTAAGGACAACGTGGCGACAAACCTTTAATATATTTCCCCTCTTTTTATCAAGAACCAAACCTCTGACCATATAGCTCCAATCAAATGACCATTCCAACAGCTACACAACATCCAACATGGTGAAAAGTCTTCCAATTATCACTCCAGACATCAGTAATAATAAAAAAGAAACTTCAGATTAATAGTCAAATAATCTGCCAGCACATAAAATAAATGAGCAGTGATTTTATACGGCAATCACCATCAGTCAACAATTTATCCTAAAACAACCAACTGCTTTTACACCAAAGACAGAATGAGGTTGGATATTCAATTTCTTAATCATGAAAGCAAAAATGTTCAACTCAACATTACACATAATATCTCATTACATTTACATGCCAATACCGCACTCTAGGTCACTAAAAGTCACAATTGATGCTAATACACATATAACATGCCATTAAGCATAATATCCATAAAATAAGATGAATAATCTTATTGTGCCGGAGGAATAAGTGCACATTGAGACAACAAACTAGAACATAGATTCTGATCAATTTCAATTGAGACTTTTATAAAAGTAGTAATAGTAATGTTCACAAACCTCTGGAGGATATCCTAAATCATAGACTAGCTTTCTGACAGTGCCTTCATATGCAAGAGATTCAAAAGTCTCAGCTTTGTACTGCGCCAGGGTGTAATCCATGTCAAAGCCAACAGCAACAATACTTTTCATGTTTAAAGACCTGTTGCAGAATATCTGCTTTCCTATGTCAATTTCACACCCTCCTTCGGGAGATGACCATATGCAGGATTGTTGACCACCATTGGCACCATTTCTCTTCTCAATCAGCGCCGTCCTGTTATCTACACCAACACCATCCATTGCACAACTTGTATGTAACTGATCTATCCCTGAACAGTATAATCATAATGAAAATTAGCTAGTAGAGGATGGTATATGAACTTGTCAAGTTCCATTACTAATCTGAAAATTGCAGCATGCACTGGGCCTGTTCAATGCTCTAGGAACAGGAAAAGCAACATGAACTAACAGAGAGAACCCAAACAAAAAAAAAAAAAAAAAAAAGAACTTGACCAATCCAATGTTGGTTTCAATAAGACAAGGCCAAAATTTAGCCTTAGAAATGAGAGTTATAGAAATAGCCTTAGTATATCGTTCTGGCCTTTGATCACAATCAATCAGTTAAAGCCTTTCTTCATTGATTACAAATTCATTATGGTATTCATCAACTGCTATCTTATGTTAGTATTATCTTATATTAGATTGAATAACATTATAATAATCATTTCTTGCACAAACACTGTAAACTAATAACAACAACCATGCAGGGAAACAAACTAGGCGACAGTACAAAGAGAAATTTTGAATGTGAATCTCAGCCGCATCTAAAATAAATTTTTAAAATTCCAAATGTCAATTTCCCACCCACATAAGGAACTTTGATATAACGATAACAGACACCAAACTCATCGACACCAACCTTCTCAGCTTTCTTCAGGTAGAGGAAAATAGTACTACAGAAGAAACTTAGGTAGTGTAGGAAAATAACAAGAACCATGAGAAAAGGAGTATACTTTTGAATGAACAATGAAGTGACTCTATCCTAAGACCAAAATCTTATTATCTTACCTTTAATCACAATTGTAAACCAACTCAAAGCACCAGGTTTATGCCCCAACGTGTAAGTCTATACTCCAAGATATGCTCCAATGAATACCTATATTTCACCAAAGTGAATTTCACTTGTTACAATCGAACTCCTATTAATATGAGCCAAACTTCAAATAACCTATTAGTAAGTAGAATAGTCTATTCTGGATCAACTATTCAAGAAGCAAAGTCCCATAATAGTGCTCGTAAGAAACCAAAACTAAGACAAGAAAGCTAGACAGATAGATCAGGGATTTTGCCACTTGGAAAGGACATCAAAGCAGCACAGAATTTTTGGAAAAAAAAACAGCTTTCGACAGGACCTAATCTAGTTTCCTAGAAAACAGAATCTATTCTGCTCCCTACATGAAAATTGTTCAAGCTCATACCAGTTGCACAACCAAAATTCTCAATATTTTGAAGTCCCACAGATAAAATCAACTAACTCTGTGTTCAAAATGTGATAATCATCATAATAACAAAACTAAGACTAAAAATAAAGTTCAAATGACCAGATTATAAACTGAATGAATTCATCATTTTAGCCTTAAACAAAGAAGAGTCAACTACCACGAAAAATACCACACAACTCTATATCCATGGCTACAATGATTTTTTTATTGAGGTCACAAGAGATTTGGTCATAAAGAACCCATTCCTACAGAATTAAGAAACCATTAGAAAAATTAAAAAAAAGGACCGCATAACACCTCAAGTAACAACAACAGCATGCTCTAGAAAAGCAGTGTTGAGTTTGCTAACGAAAGTAACTCGTCCCTCCAACCCCCCAACCCCCCCCCCCCCAAAAAAAAAAAAAAAAAAACAAAATGGCAAAACAAAAAAGAAGCTACAGTAATTTTTTATAACCTAGAAATGCTCGAGGACCAATAGCACAAGGTTTGAAACTCGGTGCATAATGGACCCGCCCCTCTAGCCTTCTCGACTTAAATACCAAACCAGGCTCGTGGTGTGCCCCTAACCTACACATCACAAAGTTGCACTCTTACCACTATACCAAAGCCCAAAGGGAAAGAAGCTAATTCCTTTACTACAATCATAAACCCAGTTTAATATTGCTAAAAACACCAATAAAAGTACGTCAAAATAAATGTAAAAAACAGAAGAGCAGAAAAGCACCAACCTTTACGACGAACTGGTTTCCCACTTTCCGGGAAATAGTCGGAACTTTTAGAACTTAATATTCCGGAATTGAAATGGAAGCTTCTGGAAAGAGATGAAATGAGGTGGTGAGGAGGAGAGAACACAGAGAGACAAAGAGAAACTGAACGCTTCGGAATTCTCATCTTCGACTTAAATAGCCATTTTTGGGATTCAAAATTGGAAGAGAAAGTATTCGAAGTGGCTGTTATTGATGATGATGCTATTCTTATGCTTATAGGATTATTACAACAACTTGCCCCCTTCATACATTTAATTTAACATAAAGTATTTACAGAAGCGGATAATTCTCATTCTATTCTACTGTATATATATGAACTTTTTGGTATTTATGATTAGAAAAATTGTTGTTTGGATTACGGGAATTGAATTCCGTTTCCCATTTCTATACGGAATCGAATTCCTCTAAATCGTGAGCTTGAAGGAAATGACGTGACTATACGGTGGGTCGCCACGTGTGGCGGTTTTAAGTTTAGGGTTCCGACGGTCAGTCACCGGAGAGTGACACAGAAAGTGGCGGCAGACGGAAGAATGGCGGAAGCGGCAATTTAGCTTAGGAGTAGGGATGTAGACCGGTGAAATTTTTGCTGCCATTACAATTTCTGAGGCGACCGTTTTTTCTGCTACCTAAATTTACCGCGGTAATATTCTGTAAGAATATTTCTTTTCTATTTTTTATTCCATTACTGTATATTCATCCTGAGTGATTAAACGTACTAACAATAAGGGATCGTTTGGTAGGGTGTATAGGGAAAATAATAAATCTATTAGTTTTAGTATTATTAATTTTTATTTTTTAACTTAATATTAGTTATACACTATATTTGGTATTGTTAGAGAGTGCCAACGATACTCAAAGGTGAGTTCTATAAAGCGGTGGTTAGAACGACCATGATGCATGGGGGCTGAGTGTTGGCCTGTTAAGAACTCACATATCCAAAAGATGAAAGTAGCAGAAATGAGGATGTTGAGGTGGATGTGCGGGCACACTAGGATGGACAAGATTAGAAATGATGATATTCGCGAGAAGGTGCACGTGGCTCCCATTGATGACAAGATGCGGGAAGCGAGGCTCGGATGATTCGGACATGTACAGAGGAGAAGCCCAGATGCTCCAGTAAGGAGGTGTGAGCGACTGGTTGTGGAGGGCACGAGAAAAGGTAGAGGACGACCTAAGAAGTATTGGGAAGAAGTGACCAGGCAGGATAAGGCGAGGCTTCAGATTTCCGAGGACATGACACTTGATGGGAAGTTGTGGAGGTCGAGTATTACGGTTGTAGGCTAGGAGGTAGTTGAGTCTTGCGTTACCTTGTACTGTTGTGAGCCTAGTCTGGTAGGATTTTTGTCTGAGATAGCTAGGGGCATTGTCGTGTCCTACTGTTTTCTCTTTTCGGTGCAGGACCTATTTACTAGTCATCATTTTTGTTTTTGTTTTGCATTTTTCCTTCTGCATTTTATGTTTCTATTTTTCCTATGATCTTTGTGGTGAAACTAATATTCTCTCTTTTTTGTTTTTCTTCTTATCTTGAGCCGAGGGTCTTCCGGAAACAGCCTCCCTACTCCTTCGGGGTAGGGGTAAGATCTACGTACATACTACCCTTCCCAGACCCCACTTGTGGGATTTTATTAGGTTGTTATTGTTGTTGTTTATTTGGTATTGTTCTTATACGTAGCAAATAATGGCGTTAGTAATATATTATAGTTTTTAATGCATAGATAAGCATGTAGAAAGATAGAATTGCCCTTTCAAAACCTTTTCCAAAGAATGTGGATGGTATTTTTGTATTCAAATATTTTTTCAAAATTTTTTATGTAATGTATGTTATTTTTAATATACCATACTGAACCGTCGATAAAAAATAATCTCAACATAACTAATCCCAGCATTACTAATACACGATATTCAATACATTTTTATACACCGGCCTACCAAAGAGGAGCAGACATATGTGTTATATATCTATTAAATTAGTGTAAATATTCAGTGCGAGTAAATGTTTATTAAAAAAAGAGTTTAACCATTAAAAAATTATAGTAAAATAGTAAATGTTTCTTTATGCTTAATTAGAAATATTCATATTCGCGCTTTGAGAATAGAACCAGAAAATAAAAGTTTGACTCAATTGGAAAGAAATTCAGATATCATCACATTTTTAATGGAGAGAAATCTTATAATCAAGAAAGTTTTAATCAATAACAGTATTCTAACATATCTTTGGTAATTGGAGGGAAATTTAAACTCAATCACCAAATCACTAGAATCTTCTTTATTGGTCTAATCATTCTTGATCGTTCACTTTGCTTTTGGCTTAAGAATTACTACTATAAATTACATTGCATTTATTCACGTGCAGAAATTTAATCAAATCAAGACCATTCGTTTCTTATTTGTCATTTGTCAAAACAATTAGCATCATCAGGTCGTTCGTCGTTGTCTAAATAAAAACAAAGAATTTTTACAAATTATATACTCCATTATTGCTGGAATGACAATGCATGTTTCTTCATGGAAAAGAAAGATGCGTGAATAATTAGTTATATACAGAACTTATTGACTATAGAAAAAAAAAAAAGAATTTTTACCAATAACCATATTTATGAATTAAAAGGAGCGAATAATGCTGAATTATTAGGTGATTTTCAACCCGAGTGGATTATAGATACATATCTTTTTTCTGTAAAAGCTTTTACTTTAAAAATTGTTTTCTAGACTAATAGCCTGTTTGGCCAAGATTCTAAAATCAGCTTATCTTGAGAAATGCTTTTCTCAAAAGCGCTTTTCAAAAAAAGTACTTTTTGTGATAAGCATTTTGTGTTTGACTATTTAATTTGAAAAGTACTTTTGAGTAGAAATTAGTTTTTGGCCAAGTTTTTAAAAAGTACTTCTAAAGTGTATTTTTCTTAAAAATGCTTTTGGAGAGAAACTACTTTTTTCTACTTCTAATTGTTTCTGCTTCTCCTCAAAAGCATTTTTTTTCCTTTCAAAAGCTTGGTCAAACACTTTAATTTTAGGAAAAAACACTTTTGACCAAAAAAAGAACTTTTGCCTCAAAAGAAGCTTGGCCAAACACGCTATAATGCTATTGAAGAAAGCATTTTTAACAATTTTGAGGATAAATTTCTTTCAAAATTTGATTTTGGAAGAGCTTTTTTTTTTCTCACCCGATGTCCTTGTACATATTTTGACTAACTCGAATCCACTTGGGACAAAGCGTTTCCTACCAAAAATAATTCTACAATTGCAAGTGATATATACATATACAGAAATAACTTTTAGCTTCACCAAAATTTCTCACATAAGTTGTGATTCCCTCCTTTGCTTAATCACCTTTACAATTCCTTTACTTCACCTCATACTTAGATAAAGCACATATCCCTTTCGTAAAACTAATGTGTTGGTATGTTACTCTTCTAACACCTTATATATATATAGAAGGAACACCAAAAACTTAAAAGTAGATGATCAGGAAGTGAAGCATACGAAATATTTTTAGGAGAAAAGGAACATTTCAAAAATCGTAGCAAATCACCAAAATATATGGTACTTTCCTTCTCTGCTTTTACATTATAATCGTCTACATTATAAGTAGAGTGAGGGTCCTTTATCGAAAAATTATATTATAATGTACAAATAGAGTAAAAGTATTCTTTTAAAAATTATATGTAAGTTGTTGAATCCCCTTCAAAATGAAGAAAAATTCATGTATTGTAGTGAAGGGGATACAAGAGTTGCTTTAGGTCATTGGTTTACAGTGGCGTACGCAGGATTTTTCATAAGCGGTGTCACTATTTTTAGTAAGAGGCCCATAACAGTCAAAAAATATTTTATGGAGCCAAGGAAGTTCAAACCCAGGACCTCACACATCAAACTTGAAGCTGTCAACCACTAAACTACTAATTTGTTTTGTTGCAAGTGGTGTCACTTTTAATGATTTTATCTTGTATTTCTGTTTTACTTATTATTTTTATATATATAAATAGTAAAAAAATTCGACGAAGCGGTGTCCCGTGACACCGCTTGGGTCCATGTAAATCCGCCCCTGTTGATTTAAATCCCAATTATTACATCGCATAATTTTTTCCTTGTAAACATTATGATTCCGCCACTGCCTGAGTGCTGCCCGTATCTTTATTATGTTTTATCTATTTATTTATACTTATTTGATAATGAAGTCATTGATTTGATATGTATGTGAAGGGAAATCAAGTAAGTTATGATGAAACAGACTCAATACTGGTGGAGCCGTGGGGAGGCAAAGGTGGATCAGAGTGGAATTATAAGCTGAAAAGTCCTATTAAAGAAATAGTTATTGCTCATGGATCGATTATAGACTCCATCATGTTCAGAACCGTTACTAAAGAAAGTACCATAGTTGATTCACCAAAGTTTGGTGGCAATGGGGGAGGTCGAAGAGACAAGGCAAGTAAAAAAAAATGTGGTCAAAATATTATTTTCTCATGTTTGGCACATTCTTCTCAAGTTAATTTTCTGTTATGTCACAAAATTAAGCTTAAGTTATGCACGCTAACAAAGTAATTTTTTATTTAATTATTATCACTGCAATTAATAAAAGCGGGGGTAAGGTCTGCATACAATCTACCCTCCTCAAACCTTACTTGTGAGATTACACTGAATTGTTATTGTTGTTGTTGTTGTTGTATTATCAGTGCAATTACATAGATTACAGTGAAAAACTCTATAGCAATAACTATTTTAGTTGTTTATAAAAGATTCGAGAGGTATTATATGTTGATCGATTTGACATATATATATATATATATATATATATATATATATATATATATATATATATATATATATTATTTTTTTTTTAACTCAGGGATCAATGAAGCTCAGTCGAATCCCCTTTATCGGATAATACATTGTGCAAAAAAGATAAAAGCACAATTTGGTTGTATATATAATTTGTTGAATTCTCTTGATATATGAGAAGTTTCTAATGTAGTGACAAAAGATGATTCAAACTTGATATAGATCATAAATTATATATTCTACGTCTGTGTGATAGATGTTCTTGCACTTTTTTGAATCCTTATAAGTATTATATTCCTAACTCCGCTACTTGTTTAACCCATATTTAATTTGCATTAATGTCAGGTTAATATTGAGGCGACCCCATTGGAATACTTGACAGGCATAAAGGGTACATTGGGACATTATGGCAGCAATTTAGTTGTAAAATCTCTAAGTTTTATAACTAACGCAAAGAATTATGGACCATTTGGGACTGAAGCCGGTGGAACTCCATTTTCACTTGTGATGAAAGAAGGTGGAGCTATTGTTGGATTTCACGGGCGTTCTGGGTTGTACCTTGATGCTATTGGTGTTTATTTGCAGAAACTTACACCTCCCACTTCAACAAAGGAACCTGAAGCTGAAAAACTTGAGCCGAATGAACCTATGGTTGAAGAAATTGAAATCCATGACGTACATTTTACTTTTTCTCTTAATTTGAATTGGATAAATTTCATTTTAGTTATTACACTAAAGTGACTGCAAATTACCCCCTATGACAGAAAGTATTACATGCCATAACAATAAAGTTACCTTAATAGGTAGGATTAATCGTTTTAATGGATAAATTTTAGTTACTATAACGTGTCAAAAACTAATTTAGTGGCTTTATTGTTATAATGAGTAAGTTTTAGTTAATTTACCGTTATATTTGATAAAGTTCAGTTACTGTAATATTATATTTATGACGATATATTTTTCACATTTTTTTAACATTATCACATTGAAAACAGAAAATGGATGTGATGAAGACTATAGTGCCACGAAGTGCTGGACCTTGGGGTGGATATAGTGGAAAAGGTTGGGACGATGGAGTATTTTGTACTATCAAACAAGTGCACATTTATATGAACTTGCATATCTCAGCTATATCAGGAATTCAAATTGAATATGAAAAGAAAGATAAAACATCAGTTTGGTCCCAACTTCATGGTGGTCTTGGAGCTGGGAATGATACAATAAGAAAGGTATGAATTAATATTCTCTTTTTATCTCAAGACTAAATAAAGAAGGAAGGCTACAATAGTTCGTAAAAAGTAATCTACAGTTAATCATCTAAATAATGAAGTTACTTGAACAAAAAGGAAAATGTAGTCGATTCTAACTAGTTTGAGATTTGATATGCAGATAAATGTTGACGGTGAAAATGAGTTATTGATTGGAATTGAAGGATTTTATAGTCCGGTGGATCATAATGGGGGCCTAGACGTAATAAGACAGATTGCATTTTATACAAATAAAGAAAAATATGGACCCTATGGAACTGAAATTGGAACTTATTTTGGCTCTTCAGCAGCTAGAGGAAAAATCGTTGGTTTTCATGGGAGAAGTGGTGTTTTCTTAAATGCAATTGGTGTTCATATGGAATATTTCTAAAAAGTGGACACTCACAATCTAAGTGTAGATGTTAACAATTGTAATCTTTCTTGTTGTCTATAAAATTTTATATATTGGAGAAACTTATTGTGGCTTCGAAATTTTTTGTGGCATCCACCTGGTATTATTCTAAAAGAAATTGACGAATTGATAATGTTGGTTTAGTTCTTTTTGAATATTTTGTGAATGATTTGTTTGATGAGGTTCACTTCAAATGAAAACATGGATTTTTGAATTTTACTATTAATATCATTTCGTAGTTGATCATTGAGTGGCAATCCCATTTTTTATCAAGGATAAGCTACCAATCTATTCGAAGAAGATATTTGGAAATTTGTGTAAGGGAATTACTTAACCATAAATCTGGCCATCTATAGCATGTTAATATTTATAAATATTAAAGTTCAGTTTTCACCAAAAATGGTTAAATCATCGTTGTATACATATATATTGGTGAAACATTGAAAGGTTTGTTAAAAAAGTATTTCAAATGAAATATTAGTGATGGTTTTCATGCACTAAACTTCAATTTTTTTGAAGTGAAATTTATTTCAAAACAAAGATTTAAATTTCAAATATTCTTTTTCTAACTTCAATTTCAAACAATCTTGTTTAAACTTCAACAGAATATTTTCCATTATCTACTAACATTGTAGGATATTCTCATAACGTAATTCCACAAAGGAAAGAATAAACAAATAATTTAGCATCGCAGACAGTGAAAAGCAATAAGGGGATGTAGCTCAAATGGTAGAGCGCTCGCTTTGCATGCGAGAGGCACGGGGTTCGATCCCCCGCATCTCCATCTTTTGCTGTCTTTTTTGGTGATTTTTCAAGTCATTGCTCTTCTCATTTTTATCCCAGTGTTACGTGACAGATTTAATCTTAAAAATGAGTGTAGTGCTGTTTATTTCTATTTCCCCATCCTTAATTTTTCGGGATTTTTTCCTTCCTATACCATATATGAAACCTTATTACAAAAAATATGCATATTTTGTAAATTACCCGCCCTGTGCAATGTTTTTCTACAATTTTTATACCATTCATTAATTAGTAATTAATAGTAGCTGAATCTTCCTGATATGGCGCGCTAAAAATCAGGAAAAGAATATCCTAATTGATTTAGCGACCTTCAGTTCAAATTTGAACGCAAATCCTTTATCAGATCTCTCCCGAATTTTTTTCGTAATTCAAAAAAAAAAAAAGACGAAAAGCTTCAACAAACTGAAAACAAATTGTAGAAATCAGTTTCTTCCTCAATCCAGACATCAAAAAGGCGACCAGTTATTCAACAAAATCAAGTCAAATTGTAGAAACCAATACTGCCGATACTCTGTTCTTCATCTTTTTTTTTTCTCAATCCACAAATCAAAAAAAATAATAAAATATAGAACAATACCTCAGCAACAACACTCAATCATGTCCAAAATCCCAATCATGCTACAATTGAATGGGAAAAATCTGATTATAAAAAATGGGTCTCATCTCTGTATTTTTTGAGAAGAAGAAGGAATGGAGAAGAGGAAGAAAGGGGAGGGGGAAAACGGCACTGGTCTTAGGAATTAGGGGGAGCTGATTAAAATTGTTATGTTACAAATTCTATGAAAGTCTGATTTTATGTTAATATCTACAAAATTCCTACATTTATCTACAAATAAACTACAAATCAGTTTAAGTATGTATAAAGCACTATTGTTTTTAAGGGTACCTATAAAATTACTACGTTTATACTACAATTAAACTACGATCTATGTTGAAAAAAAGTGTTGACTATTTTCTCTTCATCTACAAAATTTCTACAAATAAACTACAAATCAGTTTTAATATTGTATAAAGCTGTATTAATTTTAAGGGTATCCACAAAATTACTACATTTATACTACAATTAAAACTACAATCTATGTTGAAAAAAAATGTTAACTACAAAATTTTCTCTTCATCTACAAAATTTCTTCAAAAAAACTACAAATAAATTACAAATAAGTTTAAGTATTGCATAAAGCTGTATTGTTTTTAAGAGTATCTACAAAATTACTATATTTATACTACAATTAAACTACAATTTATGTTGAAAAAAAATGTTGACTACAAAATTTTCTCTTCACCTACAAAATTTCTACAAAAGTAAAACTACAAATCAATTTAAGGTTTCAGGGTGAAGCTTAGTCTTTAAAAGTTGAATCTTTGAATCAAAGTCAGAAGAAGGGGTAGGGGATTGATTGGTTTCAGGGGTGATTTGAAGGTAAATATTGTATAGAATTTTGAGATGGACATCAACATTTGACACGCCTGAGGCTGGGCTTATGCTTCTCTTCTCCAACGGCAGTAGCTCTATGTCGTAAAACCATAAGAATATGATTTTGAATCCGGAAAGAAATAGGAAAGCGTGGGCCCTACTATTTCGTACGTAACAAAATTGCAATTTCCATCTCTATATTTTTTGAGAAGAAGAAGGAATGGAGAAGAGGAAGAGAGGGGAGGGGAAAAACGGAATGGAGAAGAGGAAGAAAGGGGCGGGTCTTAGGAATTAGGGGGATAGAGAAACATGGGATATATGGACACCTTTAATCCTTAGATGAGGAACAAAGGGGCGGGTCTTAGATACTGACTATAATCCTTAACGAAAAATTTGTGGATTATAAGATCCAAAGCTTTTTTTCCACATAAATACTTGGAATTATAATTTTTTGTCTGCATTTTACGCTCTAAAAGAAACTCCCAATAATACTACTGACCATCAAAATACAATTGTATCTTCTTTAATTTGTTTCCTTCCTACTCACGATTCTCTCCAACCGTTGGCCCTATTTTGGTGCAAGTTATTTTAGAAAAAAATATTTAGGTTACGTCTCCCAAATAACTTGGAACGTGACATATGTTACTTCTTAATATATGGACACCTTTAATTAAGGAGTAAAAACTGCCCATTAATTAGACCCTTAATTAAGTATGGTATAAGATTGGTAATTTGGTATTCTAAGTGTAATTAAATTAAACCTTAAACATTGAGGGTAATAAGGTTTTCTATGTGGCATAGGAATGTAAAAATTCCTAATTTTTCTGCATACAAAACTAATAATAAAATATGATGTAAAATTTTCATGAAATAGAAATAAGAAATTGCAAAAACTTTACAAAGATATTTTCATCATTGTCATGTTGAGCATGATGACATGTAAAAGTTTTCTAGTATTTACTAATTTAATTTAAGATGAATTAACCTTATGTGAGTATAATTTAGGGAAAATACATAAGATGCATCATGTACTTGTCCAGGAAATTCAGTTTCACATTCAATCTTTACGGGTGTCCTAGTACTTCCCTATCCTTATTCAAAGTGAATTTAATACCACCATCTGAAACATAATACCACTTTCACAGTATAAGGTGCATCACACGCGCATGCCACATCGGCATCATCTGTTTTTAGCTTCCTATTTGGATATGTTTTTACTATTGCTAATTCTTATCGGCCGTATTAATATCTCTGTTGCATTTTCTTGATAATGATTTAATTACTTGAATATTTTATTTGGATGATTGCGGTGAGAATGAGGAACTTTTCAGGCAATTTAACACGAGTACTTCATTTGGATATTCCTTTTTATAAAAAGAAGAAACATCTCACCTTATAGCTCAACATTGAAAATTCAAAATATCTAACCGATTAATCCGAACCCGAACTTAAAAATCCGAGTCAATCCGAGCTTATTTGGATTACATTTAGATTGTCACGACCCGGATTTCCCACCCTCGGGGGTCGTGATGGCGCCTACTCGTAGAAGCTAGGCAAGCTACAAAATATAGTAATTCTAACTCTTTCGTTTCAATCCTTTTTAACAACTGGAATTAACAGGTGATCAACATTTAAATAATAGCGAAAGATGAAATCAAGCGGAAGATTTAGTCTAATTTAATACCAGAATCAGTACAAGAATGCCAACATGCGCCTCTACCCAGAAACCGGTGTCATAATATCACGAACCGTCTATGAGTACTACATACAAGTTTTTGAAAAAGGAAATACAGTCTGTCTCGGAAACAAGTGAAAACAGAACATATAATAGATAGGAGAGAATGCCGGGCCTGCGGACGCCTGCAGGACTACCTCGGGATCTCTGGATGGACTGAAGGCTGGCTTCCCAAGTGCTGGTACTCAAAAGCTGCTCCGGTATCTGCACATAGTGCAGAGTGTAGCATCAGCACAACCGACCCCATGTGCTGGTAAGTGCCTGGCCTAACCCCGGCGAGGTAGTGATGAGGCTAGGACCAGACTCCAGATAAACCTGTGCATTTATATAATATACAGAGGAAAATAACATGATAAACAATTTAAATAGGAGGGGGGTACATGCTACAGGGAAAATGTCGAATCCACCAGAAACTTAAGAGAAATATGAGAGAACAACTCAGAACCTACAACAAAACAATAATAATACTGTTGCGGCGCGCAACCCGATCCTTTAACATTTACCACTGTTGCGGCGTGCAACCCGATCCAATTTAATATTGTTGCAGCGTGCAACCCGATCCATATTTAGTATTGTTGCGGCGTGCAACCCGATCCATATATATATATATATATATATATATATATATATATATATATATATATACCTTTAGCAACAACCATATCAAGTGTCCCGGCAAGGGATCAATAATAAACTACACTATCTCGGCAAGGGATTAAACAGTAACAGTAAATACGTCCTGGCAAGGGAGAATCAGCTATTTCCAATCTTAACTCAACTCCTACTCATCTCAGTTAACACCAATACTCAATCATAAGTAATTTCCACGAAAATAAACTAAATCCTTGCTTAATATCGAGAATCGCCAATTAAAGCATCCGTAGTATCATTTAAGAACACAATAAAATCAATTTAAGACTTACGGTCATGCTCAACACCAACGTATAGATACTCGTCACCATACCTACACGTCGTACTCAACAAGAAGCAAATAGCAAATAGGACTCAACTCCTAATCCCTCAAGCTAAGGTTAGATCGAACACTTACCTCGAACTTCCACGGCCAACTCAATCCTCAAACACCACCTTTTGTTTTCGAATTCGGCTCCAAATCAATTGTATCTATACAT